GTCCAAAGAATTTCTGCATACACAGTTTTATAGAATATACATATAAGTTTAGTCGTCTTTAATTCATTCCTTGAGATTCTTGTGCTTTGGAATGCGGGCTGTCAGCAAGACAGGGTCGGCACTACTGCTACTAGCTGTAGTGTTTTTAGTCAGCCCTGGATGCCTCATGAGAGCTGATCATGCAGGCAAACAGCGTTTGCCATCATTGGTGAGTATACACCTCTTTAAATTTAATATAGACCTCCTGTAACTTGCCAAACCCCTGCATTAACTTGTCACTGATCAATCAAACTTTCGATAACTAGATCAATACGATTCACCAACAAATAGAATTACGTATTTTCTGCTTGCTCACGAAATTATCCAGCATGATCAAGCAAATACGCTTGGTCTCCAAACGGTTCGGTGCCAATTTCGTATTTAAAGGTAATAATGAAGCAGTGTTTTTACGATTTTGTGTAAATTGATTATCGGGGAAAGGGGATGTTATCGGGGAAAGCTTCATATCAGGACCGTGTGTTTTCGAAAAAGAAAAATTGCGCATGCGTGCATGCAGGGCGGCGGGTACGAGCAAAACTGGTCTATTGCTGACGGTCGCGTGAAATTCTAATAGTGGCACTCGCAATCGGCAGCTGGTTAAAAAAAGGTTATTTTTTAAAGGCATGTACTTAATCTGTGTTTTTAAGGGCGCTCTTTATATCAGAGGGTAAATATCCCCCTTTCTTCCCGCGAAGCCTGTCTAGACGGTAACGCGGTATCGAGGAAGACAATTCAAGCTTCCGTAGTAACCGATGAGGATGGATTTTTTTTCTTACAGGTATCGAAGTTATATGATGGGCGATTGTCTTTGATTGGCTCAGATGGTAAGTATTATTTTGTTTTCCATAATTATACACGTCTTTGCACGACAATCACTGTGGGGACCATTACAAAAATTAATGATGCGCGTAGATATAGGTTTGCCGGGTTATTTTAACACTTGTATCACACGAATTCCCTATATCGATACTTTGATTTCGTCCCCGAACATCGCCAAGCTCAATTCTCAATTTGAATTTCAAAAGCCACCACTAGATTTCATTTAAGGTTCAGTATGATTCAAATTGTTAGCATTCCGATTCGTCCAAAATCTTTGAAATTCGTCTCGTGAAGCAATCGGCGTTGAATTGACAAAGCAAATTCGTTTTCATGTTCTTGTCATTACACTTCGTCCCTGGTGACTTAAATCGTATACTACGCGCAATATTTAGACTTATTTGAAGAATTATGCGAATTAAAACAATGATAATTCAACATATATGTCCTTATATGTATAAATAAAAGTAGTTAGCTGTAAGGTATGAATTATTATTTCTGCGTTTCACAATTAACATTCGAGTTAAAAATTGACATTTCGCAATATGCACTTATGACATGGACACTAAGCATTAAGTTCAAAGACCTTCTTAATGTTGTTCTTTGTTAGACATACCTTATTTCTGTTGTTTTATTCATATACATAATATCAAAGAGCAACATTACGAAGGAGTTTGATCTTAATGCTTAATTTCCATATGCTAAGCAAAGAGCATATTGTGAAAGTTCAATTTCTGATTTTAATGTTAATTGTCAAAGAAAACTCAAAACTTACAGCTATACTTTCATTTATAAGGAAATATTTGTTAAAAATTAAAATTTAATTAATGCGCAAACAAGTCCAAATTTTGGGCACATTTTTAATCGTAACGTTTTAAGTCACCAGAGACGAAATGTAACGACAAGAACATTAAAACGAATGACAAAAAAAACCGAATTTGCTTTTTCAATTCATCGCCGATTGCTTCACGAGACGAATTTCAAAGATTTTGGACGAATCGGAATGCTAACAATTATACTGAACCTTAAATGAAATCTAGTGGTGGCTTTTTGATATTCAAATTGAGAATTGAGCTTGGCGATGTTCGCAGACGAATTTAAAGTATCGATATAGGGAATTCGTGTGATACAAGTGTTAAAATAGCCTTGAAAACCTATAATATGGAATACGCATTCGACTCGGGAAAATTGCTTATTAACTATTTTGCGTGATATTTCATTTGAGTCACCATGGGCAACATGCACTTCACTTAAAATATTTCAGATGTAAAATACATGTATGTGCAGCCGTGTGCTTGCGAAGGCCTAAGCGCCGCCGTTGTTAAACAAAGTTATTCCGATTACGTACTTGGACGCTATAACAGGGCAGTGAAATTCATGCACTCCAGAACGTTGTGTTTCTTAGAAATATGCTCAGTCTGATTGAAATGTTCAATAATAACGAAAGGAGAAATTCTAAACTTCATCAGTGAAACAATCGCCGTTATCGATGCCCGGCCCCAACTCAATGTCTATAGGAATCTCCTCAAGTCGTTATTGCATGAGTAGCTGAACACTTATGTTAACTAAGTATATTCCGAATTCCAGCTTATAGGCCTAATCTGTTGTTGCAATTGCTTGAGTTGCACCTTGAACTATCTTCAAGGTAAATTTCGACGAGGATTTTTTCCCACCGAATTAACTCGCGTGCTTGGTTTTCAGGTTGACTGATTTCGGGGCAACAATGACAAACTTGGTGCATATCAACATATTCATTAGTGTCACTCGGGATTTGGTGAAATACATGTAATGGTGACAAACCTGCTATATTTTTTCCAAACTGCGTACGTATCGCGTTTTTATCACCATTTCTAATGGTCCTTACTTAGAAAAGCGGGCCAGATGATGGTAAAAAGGGTATAAAGTTGCTTGGAAAATAGGGAGGGATCAGCTGGGTTAAATTGAACGTGCTTACATTTACATTATGTTTTTTTTTTGTTATTGCTGTAGCCTACGTTTACGGTTTCCTGTCATCTCTTTTTGTTCTTTGGTTCTCATTTCTAACCGACCCTATAATATTTTGGGCTGCCAACCCAAGTTTTTTGTAAATTACCGCCAATCTTGTCTGGAGCCTGCACAAAAACAAAAACACAGACTAATTTTACAAAAATGACAAACTAATTTTGAAAAAAAAAGGAATGTCAAATTCAGACATCAGGGTCTGTGATATTTGAAAAGCCAAGAAAAATATTATCCGATTTTACTCGAACAATGGCGTAGTGATCGAGCAAGCAATGCAATTGTCGAAGATGCCAGGGTGTTATGGAGTTCCATATCTGGCGTCGCCCGTCGTGCGTCGCCCGTCGTGCGTCGCCCGTCGTGCGTCGCCCGTCGCCCGTCGCCCGTCGCCCGTCGCCCGTCGCCCGTCGCCCGTCGCCCGTCGCCCGTCGCCCGTCGCCCGTCGCCCGTCGCGCGTCGTGCGTCGCCCAAGTCATCATGTGGCTATCACGTGACCGTGCGGCTGTCACGTGACTCTCCAGAGGTACGTATTCATGCCCGATGTGTATACAACAAAAGCTCAAGTGTGACTATTTCTGAAAACATTTAGTCCAGGAATAGGTACAATTAGGTCTAAAATGGACGAAATTCTCGTGGGACTAGGGTTTCAAGAGTTTTTTTTTTAAAGCCTTTGAGGATAATCGAGCAAGTGAAACTTCAATACTTTTGCATCTTTTTATTAGAAATCGTGGCTCCTTTGTCATGCTTTATAATCGATTCATATTCATCCAATTATCTAAAATATGAGGCCTTGAACAGGAGTGATTGAGATAATGCATAAACCATGTTTCACCCAAAGTGCAAATAAAAACAAACAGTAAACTGCTTTTGATTTCAAACAATGTCATGGGGCCTTGGCTCTGGATTGGTAATCTATGCAGATATTTCATCATTCTCCCTATCAACAACATTTCTTCAATAATGATTATTGATCTAACTTCTAAGCATTTAGCAATTCTTGCATAATTGAATAGCTATGAGGGCCACGGGAAAAATAACAAGTCTGTTAATTAAACATTAAAATATACATGTACTCTGTAACCTATTAAAATTAGTTGTGCTTAAATTATTGTGACCACACCGTTACAATGTCTTGTGGATGCAGTGCACAAAGCTGGAAGGGCGGTGTGGGACGGCACTCATGACAGGAAGTTTGAGAGGTTTTCAGCACACAAACAGTTCTCTTTGAGATTCGTCACACCCATAAACCATTTTGGGAGACATTTAAAACAAGTTAAACCAGTAACTGCCCCTTCAGCCTAGTAAATGAAAAGCAAAAAATGCAACTAACAAGAGGCCGAGTACAAAAAAGTATGTTTCCTATTGAACATTCTTGATTGTTTTTGATTTAATACAGGGAGTTCTTTACTTTTTTGAATACAGGGGATAGGACCAAGATTGTGACAGCGTAATAAATGTTTGTTCTTTAACATTGTTTACCAAAAGTGTTGTTTACCATGTTTAATCATGTTTTCATTTATTTGTTAAACTCATACTCATACTAAACTCACACCTCATTTCAAAATTAAAATCTTGGATGGCATTACTTCAAAAAGCAACTCTATAAGTTAAGGCATACAACATGTCTGGACACGTGTATACAAAAAGTAAATCACACTCTTCCAATCTATCACAAAACCATTGAATCGAACGCAAGCGTGACAAAATCTAAAAACAGGCGACGGGCGACGGGCGACGGGCGACGCACGACGGGCGACGCACGACGGGCGACGGACGACGTACGACGTACGACGTACGACGTAAGACGCGCGACGGGCGACGGACGACGTACGACGGACGACGCGCGCCGCACGACGTACGACGTACGACGCACGCCGCACGACGGGCGACGGGCGACGGGCGACGGGCGACGGACGACGGGCGACGGCAGATATGATATTCCATAGGGTGTTGCCCAGGGTGTTGTCTGTTATGGCATGGCTGCCTGCACTGCAACTACAGCCGAAACGTTTTAAGTGAGCTGTGTGGTGCAGATATACTGGAAGTCAACATCTTGACAAAAGTCAGAGTCCAAATTCAAGTTAAAACATGTTCACCGGAAAGCATTTGCAGACCTTTGATCTTCAGCATCGATTGGAAAGACAAGGATGGGCTCAAGACACGGGGCCATTAGCATTACAGGGAGGGAGGGTATGGGGCCCTGCACATAACGACGGGCTCAAGATTAGAACTTAGGTTATACCTTTCCCATTTTAGACTTCCATTCTGGGCTGCATTTTGTCGTGCCAGATGTAATTCGAAATGATGTATTTTCCCTATCAGAGTGGAAGAATACTAGCACTACCCGGGGTTGCTAATTTGTTTGGGTTTATTGATATTGGGGCACGGGGGGGGGGGGGGGCACGGGGGGGGGGGGGGCACGTCCCCCACTCCCCTTTCCTCTCCCTTTCCTCGTAGTTACCTCATTGCCCCCCCCCCCCAAAAAGAATCCTGCATGCGACTTTCCCATTCCACTTAACACCATTCTTCGATTCTTGTCATCATGAGCGAGTAGGCATTACTTTTGTATGGTGTACTATTAATGACACACTGCCTCTTCGCGGACGTGTTCACCCAGGGTCACTGTGAACATTCCAATTATTGCAATCGCAAAGGCAGTGGGTATTTGCTAACCCTTTTCCTTTTTTGTAACTTTTTTTTCAATCTGTGCTTCACTTCTTTTTTTAAATTGCAGCTTTAACTTCGAGTCGCACATCACGCTCCACGGCTGCAAGTGTCTGGTTACCTCAGCAAGTTAACATTAGCTCCAACGACAGCGCAGTAACGGTCAAGTTTGACGTGGCGCAACCAGAACTGAAGATCGACCGTTATCGCGTTCTATTATATGTCAGAGGAGCAAAATGGGCCCACAACGATGTGTACCATGTAAGTTCGTCATGCAAAACTTTATTTTACTCGTACCGGCCACGCCCTGTTTATAAGTTTTCCCGGTCATTTGAACACTTGTATCACACGAATTCCTTATATCCATACTTTAATTTCGTCCCCGAACATCGCCAAGCTCAATTCTCAATTTGAATTTCAGAAAGCCACCGCTAGATTTCATTTAAGGTTCAGTATAATTCAAATTCTTAGCATACTGATTCGTCCTGAATTTATGAAATTCGTCTCGTGTAGCAATCGGCGTTGAATTGAAAAAGCAAATTCGTTTTTTATCATTCGCTTTAATGTTGTTGTCATTACATTTCGTTTCTGGTGACTTAAAACGTCACGATTAAAAATGTGCCCAATCGTTGGACTTATTTAAAGAATTGTGCGCATTAATTAAATTTTAATTACAACAAATATTTCCTTATAAATGAAAGTAACTAGCTGTAAATGTGGATTTTTTTTTCTAAATTAACATTAGAATCAGAAATAGAACATTCACAATATACTCTTTGATTAGCACATGGAAATTAAGCATTAAGATCACACACTTTCGTAATGTTGTTCTTTGATATATGTATATGAATAAAACAACAGAAAAGGTATATGTCTATCAAAGAGCAACATTAAGAAGGTGTTTGACCCTAATGCTTAGTGTCCATGCCATAAGTAAAGTGCATATTGTGAAATGTCTATTCTTGACCCCAATGTTAATTGTGAAACACAGAAATAAAAATTCAAACCTTGCAGCTAACTACTTACATTTGTACATGTATATATATAAGGAAATATATGTTGAATTATCATTGTGTTAACGTGCACAATTCTTAAAAATTAATAAGTTTAAAGATTGGGCGCATTTTCTAATCGTATACGTTTTAAGTCGCCAGAAACGAAATGTAATGACAACATCATTAAAACGAATAACAAAAAAAAAGAATTTGCTTTTTAAATTCAAATTTTTTTTTTCTAGCAATACAAAAGATACTCACTCTGAAATAAAAAAAAAATACGTCAACCATTAGCTATGAAATAATTACTTTGCAAATTTCGACTTACTTGCGACCCATGTCAATTTAGTTGCTGTAAGACAACTAAATCGTTTTGTGCGTCAGACTTTGAGGCGAGAAAGAAATCCATGATAAAAAGCGTTCTTTTTTTCTGAGGATTTCCAACGCTCAAAATAGGAAAATGATGTATTAATTTCAAAATTCGTTTAGATTCCAAAATTCATTTGTTGAAGAGCATGAGGTAAAAGCAAATGACAGGCGTGTTAACTTCTTTGTCTTATGTAACAGAATTCTAGTAATGTCGTGCAGCCGACGAAAGGTGGACCATACTTTGGCTGGACTGAGTTCACTGATTTACACCCTGGCAACTACTGTTTGAAGGTATATTGGCCGTGGAATTGAATGCGACAGCCACGTGTCACTAGGGGGCGCTGTTCATGAAACAAATGTACATGAAATGCGCCTATCAATTGTTCCTCCACCCCTCCCCCCCCCCCCCGGCTGTCCCACCCAAGACGTGGGGATTGTCACTTTTTGAATGACAGAATCCCCACCCCACGGACAAAATTTAAACAATCCCCGACATACATACGTGGGGCGCACTAGTGATTGCCTTTCCATGTAGTTCGCCAATGGCAACAATGTAATTTGAGTGACCGAAATCCCCACCCTGGGGCATAACAAAAACCGTGACCAAATCGCGACATCAAACCTGGGGAAGCGCGTGGGGGAGGGGGACATTTTGACAGGCGCATAATTATGTACTGTTTGTTCTCCTTATATGCTCCCTCAAATGTAGACTTGACCTTGTATCCAAAAGCACAATTCGGCACATTTGCTGGCATGATTTTTCGGACCAAAGCAGAGTACTGATCTCAAAGAAGAGTACAGATTACCTAGATCAATAATACGACATTATATATAGGTTTTCCAGCACATTTTAAAACTTTTCCCATTCAAATTCTTAAACGGTTAACTTCAATTTCGTCTCTAGAGGACTGGAACGCGCAAATGCTACAATTAATTTAGTCGTTGGTCATTCCAATTGATCAATGTTCAATCAATTTCAACATTTGTCCATCCGATTTCGTCAAATTTCAATGGAGTTCGTCTCACCTGATGACCATCTACACAATGTAAGGATTGAATTCGTCTTCGTTCAATCGATTTCAAGAAATGTTCGATCAAATTCATCAAATACGCACGCGTACGCTGCCATACCATGCACATACGTTTTTGGCATGGTGTATTGCAAGACAATAAATTGAAGGTTTTAACAACCAATCCAAAGGACAAGAAGAGGAACTGAATTGACTGTTTTCGAAAGACGTGAAAAACTGAATGCAGTTTGCTTTTCATAAGTACATAATTATAGGCCTACTTAACTTTTCTGCATGAAATGGAAAGTATGCATTTTCATTTGCCTGTGTATGCATTTTCGTTTGCCTGTGTATCCCTTATTTCTTTCAGTTGTTGACGCATAAAATTGTCAAAAGAACTAAACGGATACACAAAAAAAGTATTGAAAAGATTACAATTTTGCTAGCCCAGGTGGACTCCCTTACCTCCCTACGTCGTCTAACCTAGGCTACAATTTTGCATAATAAATATGTTATAGACAACGTTAAATAAGGAGATACATGTACTAAACAGACACAAGTAATTATGTTTAAAGTAGAAATGAACAGATGAAAACGTAAAAATGCCAAAGAAAGCATACAATCATGAGACAGATTTGAATGAAAATTATGCAACATTGATTGCAAAATGACGAAATTTATTCATCTATCGTACGTTCGGCAATTGCAGACGACGACGAAATTGAACTGTCTTTCACGAAATAGTATGGATAAGGTATGAAATTGTTTGAAGAAAGTGCGAAAATGAGCGACCAAAGACGAAATTGAACATGGGGCAGCAAAATCATGAATTTTGAAGACGAAATTGAAGTAAACCGTTTATGAATTTGAATGAAAACAGTGTTAAAATATGCGGGAAACCTATATTTAAAATAACAAAAGAAAAGGAAATGGAATGTCAAAAGCAACGAATCGATGACCTATAAATTCCCGTGTAATTTCCCTAAAATATTGAGTCTAACTTAATTTAAGAAGTTAAATCAAACGAAATGACACATTTATGAAGCAATAAGGAAATAAAAAGGTAAAGACTTGTTCTTATTAGAGGCGTGTATATGCCTTTTCAGATATCGATATGAAGCCTGAGGAATTTGAACAACATTATGTTTAAATTGTGTGGTATAAGACGAATTTGATTTCTCAATCACACGATTCGGTGAATACAAGACGAAATCGAATACCCCTGGTCGAAAACGTGTGCTCATTGTTTGAATTTGTTTGGACTAAATTTGAAATTGTTCGACACAAGACGAAATTAAACATCGGGAGTGCACTGGGAGTGCCGGACGAATTTGAGTATAAGAATCGGTGAATTCGAACGAATTTTTTTTTAAATAGCCGGGAAAACTTATAAATAAATGACAGAAAGCTAGCATATAACATGAAAGTATCATAGCCTGCACTTGGCGTACAAAGATGTTTTTTGTCAATAGAGGACGGTCTTTTCTTATGTTTCTCAGAGCTGTTTATGGAAATTATTCGGCAAACAATGCTTTATAACTTCCATGGGTTCCATTTCCCCCCTGTTTAACATGGCTAATTATTACAAAGAAACCAGATGAGGAATCCTTCCATAAAGGGGGCGTTTAACTAAAAGGGTTACACAGAGGTCTACAAAGCGATGAATCTATCGCGGCCGCGAGTTGTACACGTTGTGAAACCGAGGTCAGCGTAAATCCCGGTACATACCATTATTTCGTTTTACCGTTTTGGATTTCCTCAAAAACAAAAACAATAAACGAACCATTGACCGTTTTCTCGTTTTACAGTTTTGTCAAACGGTCGAATGGTATTCAGATAAATACGGTTATTCCGTTTATCAGTTAGTAAAATTCATTACAGCATAACGATCAATGATTTTTGTTTTACAGTTTTACACAAATAACTTAAAAAAACAGCAAACCGGTCAGTATTGAATACTTTTTTATTTATTTTTATTTCAGTGTAACAGTTAACAGTCCGTAGTGCATTTTGTGGCGGTGGGCAAGGGGGTAGAGGGGGATCATGCCGTGCACGCAGTAATGCGTGGTGTGATTCCTGGCGTGACCCTGAGCCCATCCACTGCGATTCAGTTGGTGTGGCTTAAAGAGTTACAAGCAAAAATGGCGCTGGGAAATTTCAAGGAGGAAATTTCACAAGGGATAGGGATGGTATTAACGTATGAAGAAGTTACAGATTATGTTAAGGGAATTGGAGTTCGGCGCGGCTCTTCAAAGTTCAATAGCCAATATTCGCAAATTCTGTCGTGCGAACGACATAAATGTAAGGAGGGCAATTTGCCAGGCAGTGACTCGATCCCAAGGACACAATAACATTCAAAGGTGCATTGCTTAATTGCCAAACCTTAATAGTCGACAAGACTATTGACCATTTTGTCATTGTCATTTTTTTGGAAAACAACTCTCGAAAGTAAAGCAACTAACCGTTTATCGCTTTTTATAATAAAAAAGGTAGGCCTAATTGTTTGTTTTTTTGTGCGACTTTATACCGTTTGACCGTTTTACAAAACTGTAAAACGAGAAAACAGTCAATGGTCGTTTACTGTTTTTGTTTTTTGAGGAAATCCAAAACGGTAAAACGAAATAACGGTATGTACCGGGATTAGCGTAGTACTCATCATCAGTTATCATCAGTCGACTGCGCAGCAGACGGACACAAGGTTTCCCCATTTATCTCTGTTTTGAGCGAGTCTCCGGATCTCTTGCGGGGAGAGCAAAAACTCCTGTGACAGTAGTCTAGCGATGTACTCTGGGTAGAGTAGGCGCTGACGACTTTGTCTGCATTGGGCGTAGTGACGAAGGATATGGCAAACATGAGATTTCTGTCCACTGAGTCAAATGCCTTTCGGAAGTCTACAAAGGTTGTGTACAGGGGTAGTTGCTGAGCTGCTGCACCCTCCATGACTCAGGATGCGGATTTGCTCGACGCAGCCACGGCCTTTACGAAACCCTGCCTGGTTGTTTCTTAGGTAGGGATCGACGATAGGTCTTATCCTGCAGCACTCTGTTAAGGACCTTTGCGGCAATTGACATTAAGGTGATGCCTCTGTAATTTGACATAGATGACAGGTTACCTTTCTTTGGAATTGGTATGATGAGGTTCAAGGGCGGATCCAGAACATAATTTTTGGGGGGCCCAAAAAAATTTGGTCCCCCCAAAAAGTGGGTCACAAAACTTACGGCGTGGGGTTCGGGGCCCGCTTAAGGGCCCCGAACATTTTTTGGATTCTAGATGCTCTGTGGTGCGATCTGAGGCAATTTCTGACCACTTTAACCAATGTTTTTTGAGGAAAAGATGGTGGTGTACTCATTGCCTGCCTTTATTGCGATGTCACAAAAAAAAAAAAAAATTTGATTTCGTTTTTTTTTGGGGGGGGGGGGCCATGGCCCCCTTTGGCCCCCTGGATCCGTCCTTGATGAGGTTAGTTTTCCCTAATTGACCGGGAGCTACCTTTTCGGAGTAGACCTTGTTGCAAATAGTGTGTATGGTTTCTCTCATGAAGCTGCCACCGTATTTCATATTGTCAGGTGTTATTGAGCTGTCTAGACCAGCTGCCTTCCCACTTTTCAGCCTGTAATGGCGGTTTTTATTTCCTCCAGGGAAAATGGGTTGGTGTTGATTGGGAGGTCTTCCTCTGCAGGTTCCGGCATATTCGTTACATATAGGCCTGCCATTCCGATTATAGATCTTTTGTGTTTTTGATCTGGGTGCCATCCCTCTTTCTGACTTCGGTGTTATTAGCCTGGTTTTTCCCAGCCATATTGTTGATAACCGCTCATGTCCGGTTCACTTGGCCCTTTTCTGTAGCTATGTTTAGGACATTAGCTCCTCCTGTAGGTATCTGGTTTGTCTCTTTGATATGCTTTGGTAACGTCATCAGCAATGTTACGCCATTCTGCTTTGTGCTCGGGTTTTCTGCTGTGGAATTTAGCCTTTGCGATGTCCCTCCTGTCCCACAGTTCTGTCGTTTCTTGGCTGACCCAATGCGGTCCCTGCAAAGGTTTATCCTCTCCAATGACAGTCTTGGCCGTTTCCTCAAGAGCAGTTCTAAAGCTATTGTACAGTGTCTGAACATCTACATGTATATGACGGATCAGTAGCCAGGTCCTGCAGAACTTCGAAACGGTTTTTCAAGGAGATGTTAAATTATCGTTGCACACTGCTACTATCCTTCAGCTTTGTCCAGTTGTATTTTGTTCTGATACATCTCTTTCTTCCTGCTGTTCGGAGACTGAGCTTTATTCTGGCAGTGACGATGCGATGGTCAGAGTCTAGTTCGACGGTATTGTATGCCCGGCAGTTTTTAGCGGAGTTTATAGCTGCACTTTCCCGACAGGAGGATGTGGTCCAGGTGAGCCTGGCTGTAGGTGCTGCTATGTCCATTGTCTACCGCTGTGATGTGGGAACATTGATTCCAGTCATTTTCATGTTGTGAATTTCACAGAAGTCTACCAATCTCTGCCCATTGTCATTAGTGGAGGCAATTCTGCCATTACAGTTACCAAGAATAATGGTGATGCTATGCTTTGGAATTCCCTCCAGAGTGGACTGTAACGTATCGTAGAAGTTGTCTTTAGTAGTTTCGTCTGCTGCCTCTGTAGGAGCATACACGACAATCACTGTAGTTGTAGGATTGCCTTCGAAGTTTGCTAACATGATGCGGTTCTCAATCTTCTCAACATGTCGGAGATACTTGGCCAGATCTTTATTTACCAAAAGACCGGCTCCTCCTGTACCGTTGCTGTTACATGAAGCATTGAGTAAGAGCCAACTCCTGTTTTCTTCCCATCTGTAGCACAGCCTATGTCATCTGTTGTGATCAAGCGGTGTTCTTGTATCCCTACAGTGTGTATATCTGCTTTATCGCAGCCGCTTGTCAGTTGGTATACTTTCCATGGACATTGAAGTCCTTAAGGTTTTTCTTAGTCCTAGGTGCCGTATCGGGGGTAGAGGTCCTTGTGGTTTCCCCATGCACCGTCATTGATGCATCACGTCTGTTCTGCTGACACTTCGCACTTCGAATATTTGTTTGTTTTTTCCTTGTGTCTTTTGTAATCAAGTTTTGCCCAGGAAACTTTTGCTGCTCGGTGATTTCAACCTCCATGCAGACTGTCCTGAGAAACCGGATGTCGCCCAGATGTCTGCCATTCTCTCTGCTTCAGGACTGAAACAGCATGTTACTGAGCCTACGCATGCACAAGGACACACTTTAGATTGGCTGGTGACCAGAATCAAGGAAGATGGATTATTGATCAATCACAAGGTCGACATGAACGAAATGTCTGATCACGCTGTGGTTTCTTGTAAACTTAATCTCACTAAACCGAACTTGGTTATCACTTCATCTTCGTCCCGCAACTATGGTAAGATAGATCACACAACATTTGCAAATGATCTGTCAGATCACCTTCAGCATGTGTGTCATGATGGAACTGTTGACAAATTCTTGAACGATATTGATAATGCCATCATCACAGTTCTCAATGTACACGCACCGACGTCATCCTGCTCTAAGCCCAAGCGCCACAGACCTAAGTGGTATAACAACTCAATCGATGAGGCAAGACGTGAGCGTCGCCAAGCTGAACGCAAATAGCGTAAGTCAAGATCTAACGCTGACAAATTTGCCTTTGACGCGGCCAAGCGCACCGTCTCTGAAACTCTAGCTTCTGTTAGATGCAGTTTCTACAAGGAATCCTTGACTAACACAAATCCTAAAATCGTCTCCGTACCATCAATGAATTGATTGGCAGCATCCCACAAGTACCCACCGTTTCAATCTCACCAACTGCGCTGGCCAACCAATTTAGTCAACGTTTTACGGAGAAGGTAATGAACATTCGTTTGTTTATTGTCGATCACCATGTCGACGAGCAACTGCCTGTTACCTCGCCGTCTGCAGATTGCCAGTTGTCTGATTTTCATCCTGTCACTTCTGCTCTTGAAGATTGTTCAGCGATCTACCAATAAATCGTGCCAACTGGATCAAGGGCGGATCCAGAACACAATTTTTGAGGGGGCCAAAAAAGATTTTGGTCCCCCCAAAAAGTGGGTCCAAAAAATTACGGCGTGGGGTTCGGGGCCCGCTTAAGGGCCCCGAAAATTGTTGGATTCTAGATGCTCTGTGGTGCGATCTGAGGCAATTTCTGACCACTTTAACCAATGTTTTTTTGAGGAAAAGATGGTGGTGTACTCATTGCCTGCCTTTATTGCGATGTCACATAAAAAAAAAAAAATTGGTTTCGTTTTTTTTGGGGGGGGGGGGGGCATGGCCCCCTTTGGCCCCCCCTGGATCCGCCCTTGAACTGGATCCTATTCCCACATCGTTACTCAAGCGTCACATTATGACCTTTCTTCCCAAGTTGACTGAGATTGTTAATGCATCCTTACAATCAGGTGTCTTTCCGGAGAGTCTGGGGGATGCAATAGTAACACCAATCTTGAAAAAGCCTTCACTGGATAAAGAGGATCTTAAGAATTATCGCCCAGTTTTAACATCCGCTACCTGTCCAAAGTCATTGAAACAGTAGTCTGCTCCTAACTCACTCAATCCGTTGCAGTCAGCATACAGAGTTGGTTACAGCACCGAGACGGCTCTGCACAGGGTACACAATGACATCCTCCGTACAATGGACAACAGCAGAGCTGTTTTCTTAGTAATGCAGCTCTGCAACGCTTTCATGATCGATTTGGAATCACTGGAACTGCCCTTCAGTGGTTCTCGTCCTACTTCACAGGAAGAACACATTGAGTTCATGCTGCAGGTGCCAACTCCGTTGTCCATCACCTTGAGTCTGGTGTCCCTCAAGGATCTGTTATCGGTCCACGTGCTTTCACCATGTACGTTACTCATATTGGGGACATCCTTAATCGGCATGGAGTAAGTTACCACATGTATGCTGATGACATTCAAATCTACCTGGATTTTAATCCAACCATTCCGTGTGATGCTGAGTGCTGCTTGTTTAGGCTATCCAACTGCATTCAGGATGTTCAAACCTGGATGCTTGCAAATAAACTCATGCTGAATGAAAACAAAACAGAGGTTTTCATAGCATCGTCGCCATATCATTTCAAACGTCTTCAGCTACTAACCCTCACGATAGGCAACACAACCATCAATCCTGTCTCATCTGTTCGGAACTTGGGAGTAACCTTTGACAACTCCATGTCAATGAGTCAACATGTCACTGGTCTGTGCAGGTCCATTAACTATCACATACGCAACATCACAATGATCCGCAAATACCTGGACTACGACACCTGTCATTCTGTTGTTCGTGCACTGGTACTCTCAGCCTTGACTACTACAACTCTCTTCTCACCGGACTTAAGCAACACGATCTCAACCGCCTACAAAAACTCCAAAACAAGGCTGCTCGACTGATCCATATGAAGCCGAAGTATATCCCTGCCACATGCACCTCTGCTCCTGGATCTCCACTGGCTTCCAGTCAACCAGCGGATCACTTTGAAGACGGCACTGAACATGTACAAAACTGTATCCAACACTTTCCCACCATACATTTCGGACACAATCGATTTCAGCAAACCCAAACGTGAAGGTCTTCGATCACAATCCAATCTGGTGGTACCTCGATCCTCCAGAAAGTTTGGAGACCGTGCATTCTCCATCGCTGGTCCCCGTAGCTGGAACTCTCTCCCCATTACCATCCGGAACGCTTCATCTGTAGAGCAGTTTAAGGCACTCTTAAAAACACATCTGTACAATCGTACCTTCTAATTTGTATTAGATTCTGTTGTAAGACATGTATTTATATGCTCTTTTTTGGACAATCACATTTTGGTTTTGATAATTTGGTTGCATTCTCCCCTAGCGCTTTGCATCCTTTGGAAATGGCGCTTTATAAATACGGTTATTATTATTATTATTATTAAGTAATTTGCAGGAAACTGCAGGATTCATATGGGAGATTAGCACTATGCTGTAAGGTCCGCTTGTTAAGCACCCGGACAGCAGTCAAGGATCACTGGATATGATGTGTCTTGCCTCTGTTCTGAAACATGATGGCCCGGTTGAACTGAATTAGCCATAACGGAGTCATGATTAGCCCCATGGGTTGCTATTTAACCCACACTGCCTCGCCATCGTAGCCGGGTGAATTAGCCTATCGACTAGTGAATTTCTATATGCTCGAGGACAATGCTTTGTGCTTCCCTTTGCCCCTGTTATATAATAACACTCTTTCATAGACTAAGCACATAACCGTACAATTTCATAGACTAAGCACATAACCGTACAATCGAGGACCGTTTTCAATATAAGACCCAACACTTGAGGACTGAACGGATCTGTTGTTCTCCCTTTGTGCGTCTGTGCTCTATCGCAAAGACAAGAGCACAGACGAAGTAAGAGTGTTTGCTCGCTGAAACAGTCACGGTGGAAACGCCATAAATCCTATATGGCACCCTACAGCGTGTGGACCATTATTTCTTTGTAATATAGGTTTTCCCGGCCAATTTCGCAAAAATAGCATTCGAATTCATCTTGATAGTGGCCAATTTCAAGCGGAGTAGCGCCCTGCTGTCATTCCCGTGGTTTGTATTAGATTTCAGGCGTTCAAATTCGTACAAAACATGACATTTTCATGTTTAACTCATCCTAAATTGAAGTTTTGTCATTCGGTTTAAGTGATCATTCAATTTAGCAGTCGGTTTGGTTTAGGGTTATTTGCATGAGATTCTTGATTTCTTTTTCATTTCCGTGCATTCTAATTCTTTTTATTTCTTCCACCTTTTGTCATTTCTGCTTTTCCGTTTCATTTTTTTTGTTCAAAGTGTCTACTATCTGTCTCTTTATTCTAAAGAGGTAAAAATATAAACAAATTAAATAAAAAGGGGGCATATGAAACAACAAACCTATAGGCAACAGTAAACTTAGGTGATGTTTTTCCTTCTTTTTATCGTGTTTACATAAATTTATGTGTTTTTAATTCTTTATCTTTGGGTTTAAAGCAACACCCCCTGTATCCGTCACCATTGCTTATCAAGGCAATTATTTTTCCATTGTTTAAAAGATACTCGCAAAACCGACCAGATCGCCTGTGTGTCACACTGACGGAGGCATTGTTAATTCGTGCAGAATAACAAGGTGTCACAATTTCAGCGTTTCTTTAGGTATGTATTTTGTTTATTTGACTCTTGACTAGCTCGATTGGGAGGTGCGGCAGCCCCCCCCCCTTTGACTGCCGGACCCCTCCCCCCCCAACCGAGCGTCGAAAAAGTATCCCCCCTCCACAAACCTTTAAAAGCATATATTTCTGAACCGACGTCGGTACTACATAATGCGCTAAATTAAAACGGGAAATAATAACGAAAGTAATAAGGTTAAAAATTTATTCCGTTTTTAAATGAGACATCACATATAAATGAGTTTATTCAGTTGTCGGATTGCCAGGTTCCTGCTCCGCAAAGGCAACTCTTCTCCGACAGTGGCGCACCCAGGATTGGCGGGGGGGGGGGGGGCTCACAATTTTTTTTTCAAATTCAAAAATTTTGGCCGCTGAGAACAAAATGTGGGTTTTTTTTGTTCTGGGGGCGGACTATTTTGACGTTGGTGGGCACCACTTACACCCCTATTATACTTCTCAAAAATAGGCCACATACAAATCACCAAGGTCAAATCGTGGGACTAAAAAAAAAAATGACAACCTCTTGGGGGGGGGCTCAAGTCCCCCGAGCGCCCCCCCCCCCCTCCCTGTGTGCGCCACTGTTCTCAGACGGAGAAATAAATAGCTAAGTAGAAAATTTGTCAACTAAAATCGAATTTGTTAAAGAGCACGGCCAGTCATTGTTAATCATTACGCAGCCGACACCAGGCCCAGCAAAGACACGATCACTGGAGTATCAAGCACGTTTATGCCAATGCCGACATACACTCCATCCACAGGCCTTCACACCGTGGCTGGTACTGCAACGGCTACACAGCAACGAAATACCGTGGGATGGTACCTCGGAATCACCTTGGCCATGGTGGTTTGTGTCGTAGTGCTTCTCTGCTTGTACATCAAGCGGATCAAAAAGAAACGAAGAATTGACATCGGTTCCAATGATCAACTCGAGGAAACTCCGAATAATATGAACAATAGAAGTAAGCGCAATACTATTTCTCTTTGTTTTGTGTCATTTTCGGCTAATTGGCGTAAAACATTGCAAATACAGGCTTCCCCTGTTACTTTAACAGCTGTAGGCCTATCATACTTGCGCTATTCGATAAAAAGGACTTAAATGTCGTACCATCACATTATGGGGCTTAAATATTCATTTCAATACGAAATGGAGGCCAACACCAATATATATATATTTCATTTTCAAACAGCAAACTCGTTTTTTTTGTTCATTTAAATGGTTTTGTCCATTTCATTTCAAAATTGCGACCCGTTTCTGTCAGAACACTTTCCAATCTTTTCAACTTTTATTTTGTTAACTCCGATTTTCTTGTTACTTAAAATACAGTGATAATTTTATAGTAAACATCATTCAAGTTGGAATAAGGCATAAACATTGAACAGCTTCATAGTGTCATAATCATTCATCCTCCAATCCCCCGTCTCTCGCAATGCAAGGAATGCACATACTGAATACAACCGAAATGAGTGATACAAAATAATTAGCTGTACTATTCTCACGCCATACTTCATGGGAATGCAAACGGGATGCCCAACTTGGACGTCACGAAGCATTCTCTGCGAAATTCGCCGGAATTGAAATATTTTCAACTTTGTGAATTCGCAGCGCGAAGTATGAATCGGCTTTTCTCTAGGCGGGGACTCAGTTCGGTCGAGTAATGGACTCAGTAGTTAGTATGCTAAATGTGACGTACGTACTTATTTAAACATTATTTTGAAGCTTTTTACCACCACCAGGAGTAAAATATCTTTAACTTATTAGAAAGTGCATGCAATCTTTGTTCTCCTTCACAGCATTGCGTACTGAATCATCATGCCGTCAGCAATGTAACCCACGGCAGCAGTCTTTGAATGACGTAGGCCTGCCGCAAGAACCAAGCTGGCAGGCCAGTATGGGGACAGTGGAGGGCCCAGCCAGCCATAGTACAGACACATCGAAAGCGCAACACGAGAAAGCATGGCAAGGTATCTGTCCAAACCAGGCAAATCAATGGCCACTATTGAGATCACACTTTCCTGATGCCGGCTTTCCTCAATCCCCCTGGGCCGGGGAAATGTCCGGTGAAGTCGATGATGCCAACATGAGACAACCGGAGTCGGTCCGAATGACCAAAGATCCAAAGTTGAATAGAGAGGGTGTTCCCAATCATGCCAAGGGCGTGGACGGCACCCATGGAAACACAGCGTGTACTCCAAGATACCAAGGTACTGGATTACATAGAATCTCGCATACGAATTGGAGCGAGGCAATAAGTGGAGATGTCGGTCAGACGTCCTGTGGGGGGGTCAGTGGTGTCTTTCATTCACACGGCGTGTCATCCGTAAAGTCCCGGTCAAAACTAGACCTGTACGAGCTACTTGCTCCTTCCAGGTCAAGCATCGCTTCATCCCAGTTCACAGAAATCTGGAACGCCTTCAATTCAATACAACCAGCGGATGTGAGCACTTCCAACTCCCAGTCCAGCTCTCGTCTCCTCAAGCAAGATCTCTTGGTAAGGTCCTGTCCCTCGTTGATGGAGGCCTTGAGCATTCAGTCGACTGGAAGTTCTTGTGGCCCATCTGACATGACGGATGCAGATTACTCAGATAACACGGTGGTGTTAGGCGCACCCAATCTCACAACTGAAATATGAGTTTTTAATCTTGGTCGTATAATATTTCACATGGTATGGGAAAACAATTCTTATAACATCTACATCACATGATTTTCGAATATGAGGGGCATTTAATTTTAAGTGTCATTTGTACTCCCTTGTTTTCCAAAAAAAAAAGGAAGCGATGGTAGGGGTGGGAACTGGACACAGACATTTGCTTGGTGGGTACGTGGAAGGGCCGTTGACCGGCGTATTTTTTTTCCCAAGGAGGGCCTAGGGATGGGGCCAAGTCATACATAATTCAGTTTTTCCTTGGAATCATTGCGACATACACTTAGATTCTCGCTCGCTCTTTTCCCCTTCAATGAAAATTATCTCAACGATAAATTAAGAGAAGGAACAAGTCTACTGTGTGGTAGCTCGGTGACGACCGTTCTGTGTTCTTTAAAATGCTTCAATGCAGCTGGTTGACTAACAACAATGCTCTTGATATCGTTGTTCTCATCATGAATAAACATACTGGTCCGAACAAAACTACTGAATTAATCATGACTTGGCTCCAACCGTCCTGGGAATAAAACTTACGCTGGCCGGCTGTTAGATAAGCGGCGTTTGGGGAGAGAGAGGGTGTCTGGACGCAATGGGGCGCTCTGTTGAGCCTTTTACTTCATTTCCATTACTACAGGGTGAGTAAAAAAAAAACATGTCTCGACTATTTTATTTGGGTGAAGTTCTGCATGTAGCACTTTCAAAATCTAGGATGTGAAAGCCCAATTCATGAGCTTTCTTTTCAGTACAAGAATCATTCAAATCAGTGTTCTTACAGCAAACCGAAAACAATTCACGGGGATGAATGTAAATTGTTTTTGTTTTGCTGAAAGAACACTGACCTTTTTATGATCCGTGGACAGAACTTTAAAACAGTGTTTGTGTGTTAAAATCCCGTAACTTGAAAAGTCCATGTTATTTGAATGATTGGGCACATAATCGTAACGTTTTAAGTCGCCAGAAACGAAATGTAATGCCAACAACACTAAAACGAATGACAAAAAAACAACAACCAAATTTGCCTTTTCAATTCAACGCCGACTGCTACACGAGACGAATTTCACAAATTTAGGACGGATCGGTATGCTAAAACTGTGAATTATACTGAACCTTAAATGAAATCTAGTGGTGGCTTTCTGAAATTGAAATTGAGAATTGATCTATGGCGATATAGATATCGTAAATGTTTCTATATTTTGCTGTTGCGGTAGCACCGAAACAGCTCTTGTTTTTCCCCCTTTTCCCCTCCCTTTATACTCCTCTCCATATGTTTTGTACACGTTTTTCTTCTACCCATTCACTTTCGCACTTTCGTAAATCCAATCGACTTCAGACACTGTGTTATGGTTGCAGACCAGTAAATAAACTGCCATAGACCCCAATGATAACTGCCCCCACTTCAAAAATTCAGGAAAAATACTCACAACTCTCCAAGGTGTTCGAGACACACATCAAATTAAAGCTATTTCATCACCTTTCTTTTCTTTTCTTCAATTTTTGGGGGGTTAACTGATGACTTTTAGGAGAAATTTCCATTCGAAGATGATCACCCCTTAAAATAGTCCTGAAGCCCATCGCCATTTTGAAAAACGATGCCTACACTTCATTGCAAAATGGAGCGTTTTTAGGGGGTACGGCTTCCACCCATATTTTTTAACCCATAACTCATAAAAATATGCTCAAATATCGATGAATCTGAGGGCATGCAAATCGTGATTTGACCAGCATATGCAATTTTGGACCGATTTACTGGCCTGCAACCTTTAATGTTATCATTTGAAGTGACGCCATCAAGGGTTCATCACGTGCACAGAGTATTTTAAATATCCGCAAAACACATTTTCCAAAAACACATCTCTATTTCCCCCCCCCCCCCACTCCCTCTTCTTAGTCTTTTTCTGGACTGTATTGTGGTCATTTCTTCAGCTCATTTATACCTTAAAATCGTTTTCCCCATCCAGATGAGGCAAAAATGGTTAATATTGATTAATACGTTTTGCAAAAACACGTATTTCCCGTTAAACTTCTGAGCCAACCATTTTTTTCCATTTAATTTTCATGCACATTGGAAAAGATTTTCGTTCTAATTATAAATTATGGAAGTTCGATGTAGTCCGGGGAGGGGGGGGGGGGTGGGATAACCCAGCCCTTTTAGGATTCAATGCGAATATTGCTTGAGTAAGGTAAACCTCTGGTTGTTCTTCTATTCTTCTGTTTACCTTGTTAATTATTTCCGTTTTCTTAATTTTAATTCTTCCTTTTGTATTATAATCCGATAATTATACTCCCGTTATCAAAGCTTAATCCAGTTTCAAATTAGAAGGCGGTCTGATCTTGAGAAATCTTTGTAGCGCATGTAGTTGTTGGTAAAGTTGGCAGCTTTGTTGACTTCTATAGACCATTCCGAGCGCGCTAACACTGCACATTCACCAATGGCGAAAGCATTGTGCCAAGCTAGGGTGCCTCTGTGAATTTCCAGAGAGTAGCGTGACTATTGTCTGCAACAAGACTCGCTGCAGTGTTTTCTAACTGATAATGACTTACAAAAGAAGTGAACAAGAGGATATCAGCCGATCCGATGAAAAATTGCATGCCTTTAAATTTGTCGCGATTTTTTTGGGTGTTGCAAACTTAGCATAGGCCCTAGACCTAAGTTGTAATCCCGGTCAACTGGGTTTTAAAACAATGGTGGGAACATCCGCTTTGTGTATTTTCTTCATAAAATAACATTATTAATGATCATTCATAAATACCTCAGACAGTTTAGCCATTCCTATTGGTCGAGAGCCCGTCACGTGGTATTCTCATCGCATACTCGTAAGCTTTTCCATGATCTGTGCCAAAGTGAAGTATTTTGGTGAGTGCGGACTCAGAGTCATTTATGGATGGAAAAAATAAGTAAAATTTCAGGAATGAAAAAGGTTTAGTAATGGACGAACACTCAACAAAAGTAAGGCCTACATAGTGTAGTTTTAGGATACCACGTGCGCTTTTGCATGCGCGGTGCTAGCCCGTAGTTCAGCGGTTGTTTATTGTGCATGTTGTATACGCTGGAAATGTTCACATGAGCTACACGCCTGAAAACGTGTTTCTTCATTCATGGGACCGCAACATTATCGCGCAACTCGTGCACCGGGCGGATGTTGACAGGTCAAATTGCCGGATCAGATCCACCTTTTGGGGGATCTGTATCCTGGTCCAGAGGTGGATCAGAAAAGGTGGATCTGATCCTGATCCACCTTATAACGGTTAGCGTTCCCACTACACACAATTGCCGGATCTGATCCACCAATTGGGGGATCTGATCAAGGGCGGATCCAGGGGGGGGGGGGGCCAAAGGGGGCCATGGCCCCCCCCCCCCCAAAAACGAAACCAATTTTTTTTTTTTTTAATGTGACATCGCAATAAAGGCAGGCAATGAGTACACCACCATCTTTTCCTCAAAATAAATTGGTTAAAGTGGTCAGAAATTGCCTCAGATCGCACCACAGAGCATCTAGAATCCAAAAAAAATTCGGGGCCCTTAAGCGGGCCCCGAACCCCACGCCGTAATTTTTGAGGGACCAAATTTTTTTTTGGCCCCCCCAAAATTGTGTTCTGGATCCGCCCTTGGATCTGATCCGGCAATTTGGCAAAAGGTGGATCAGATCCCCCAATTGGTGGATCAAGTGGGAACGGGGTCTTAATTAAACGGATGATAATGACATGGCTAGCTGGTCTTAAACACTTTTCCAGTGTCACATAAAATGTGGACTCCTAAAAATCCAGTGCCTCTTACCGTTTCATTGGTTGAACGTTCACAATCCTCACGTAGGCATGCGCAACACTACCAGTGAGTCCGAATTTTATAGTCCTTAATTCAAAACGCATTTAAAACGCATTATTTAAAACGCATTATATTAAACGCATTCAAAACGCATTATTCCCTTATTATAGCAATTGCTTACATCCTGTACATGTAATCAGTGAGAAAAAAAGACTCCAAGGCCTATGATGTATGTGTTTCCACATGACAGTTTCCATGTACTTTGTAAAAAACGTATACTTTCCATCAAATTTGCTTCTAATAAAAAAATCCACTCTGTATCAAATGTAATAGCGTGGAGTATTTTGATAGTAATTTCAGGGAGTTCCCAATGTAATTGTTTCTGATAAAAGGAAGATCATTGAGATAAATATAGTATCCAATTCTGCAGTTGATAGATTTCACTTTCTTATGTCATTTACCCTTATGTTTCAAAAGATAACAGTAACTGCACGCATACACCTACAGGTATTATTTCAGGAGAACCGATGAAAGAGGACTATCTACTTACACTTTGTAAGATTGACAGGCTGTTGTCAAATTCAATATAACATGTTTCAATCAAAAACAAATAAAAAGTATTTAACCTTCCTTGTCTGTTTCTTTTGTGTGTGTAAAGTTTTGGGGAAAAAATCATTTCCCTGTAAGTGTGAAATAATAAAATACCGCAAAGAACAATAATAATGGGCTCATGCAAATTATTTTCTTCACCAACAATTTTGAAAACATATTAAATACAGCCAGGTCAGATCAGGACGACGAAATCATTTCCTCTTTATATGGCATCGAAATGCTCGCCTTATTCATACGAAAACAGTAAATCAGTAAAAACAACGTGACATGTTTGCCATGATGGTACTCCACCAACATGGGCGTCGCGAGGGGGGGGCAAGGGGGGCACTTGCCCCCCCCCCTGGAAGAGCAAAAAAAAAAAAAAAAAAGGAAGAAAAAAAGAAAAGAAAAAAAAAAAAAAAAGAGGCGCGAATACAACGTTGTGTAAATTTAATGAGTTGGGGGGGGGGGCAAAATGTCCCTGCCCCCCTCTAAAACTGATAAATTGAGAATGTGTTGAGAAATACAAGCATTTTTTTGGCACAAAAAGTTTTTGCCCCCCTCTAGAAAAAATCCTGGCGACGCCCATGTCCACCAAGTTTTTACATTGCATGTTTTTTTTGTAGGCATGATTTTCTGTTGAGTAGCTTCACAAAACTCGAATCCTGGTAGTTCTGTTTGTATTTTTGAATGAGTACTGAGGTGGAAGTAGTATAGGTTTCCCACACATTTTAAAACTGTTTTCATTCAAATTCATAAACGGTTTACTTCAATTTCGTCTTCAAAATTCATGATTTTGCTGCCCCATGTTCAATTTCGTCATTGGTCGCTCATTTTCGCACTTTGTTCAAACAATTTCCTACCTTATCCATACTGTTTCGTGAAAGACAGTTCAATTTCGTCGTCGTCTGCAATTGC